CCACTCAGTTGTTTATATTACAGGTAGAGGACCCCGAGCATAGTCGGATGATGATGATGAGTGAATTTTGGATTATAGGCCAGTAGTTACAAATAATTGTCGTAAGGCTTATAATGTCTTGTTTATGCTTTTGATCTGTATCGAAACATGACATCCCGAGGTTCTGATATAAAAAGGAAATGATATATTTCTTAAAGAAAGGTTTTGAAAAACTTTTATCATATTTTGTTTTGGGGACTAATTCTGCAACATCTTTTATAAATATTTCTCTAATTTGATTTTAAAAAGCATAAATTAAATCGGTCTTTTCTGGCCGATAAATTAGGGGATGTCACAATATTCTAATGACCTTTGATTTTATCTCGCACAAGACACGTAACGATCCAAACTCTTGTATTAGAATAGGATCGAATAAATCGAGCTGATAGAATAAAGAAAATGAAAAGAGTTTGATCAACATGTAGATGCTTTGGATCAGAAAGAATAGCACCACGTATCTCTAATTCATGCTTTCGTACGTACACATCTTTTAGCTTTTGGCACCTCCTCCTTTTTAGTTGGAGTACTCTTTGATTGTTTAACGGAAACTTGACTCCACGTCATTTAACTAGTAAGAGTAGGGCAGAAACATTTCTTGTGTCCAGTAACACCACATAGCAAGTCACATCTCTAGCTAATGATTGCTCAACTCTTTAACGAAGATCATTACATTTCTATCGACTACCTCGACCATTTACTTCTTCAGTATTCCTACTGATGTTTTATCACTATATAAGACATGGTTCTCTGAACCAATCAACTCCTTTCACGGATTTATACTAATCGGACTCGATTCTTTATGACATTAAGATTTTGAACGATAATTATCTTCTTAGTTATTACTGAAACAAAGGTAACGACACACATGAATAAAACGAAATCATTTACTAGCTTCTTGGTAACCTTGTGACTTTTCCTGATCCAAGTGTGAGTCCTGTGCTTCCAGTAGTATAGGCCTCTACTACTATTCACACCTACTCATACTCGTCCCAAGGATTGTCTCGCAGTTCCCAAGTCACCATTCAAATGTTTTCACAAAGCAATTTATCACACATGAACGTGTTTAAACAAATACGTACAACCGTTTCTCCTAGACTCAACTAGGGTTTTCACGTTTCTATCAAACATATATTGGACAACTTATACTCGCCTTCTAGGATTCTTCTCATGCTTATGCTCGATTTAATATATCCTAATAATTTTCCATAGGTCGATAGAATTTTACTTCCATTTCTTCATATTAATTCTTTCTTGAGTAGTGTCTACCCTACAAGACACATTATTCCAAAATTTACTTTAGCAGCATGGAGATAAACAGTCTTCTACTACCTGCATCATCTTCTAACTGATGCAATCCATCATGCACTTTTGTTCATTTCATTATTCTTCTTTGACATCGTTATTCTTGTATCTGAGTAAGTCTAAGTCTATTTCATAGGAGCCTATCTTAAGAAGTCTGCATCTTAGCTGCATCTCAGCAAGCTTTACTAGCTTCAACTTGGTTCTTTGTCATTCTTGACTACAACATTTATTCTCATACGATACTATGGGTGTATTTCTTCTTCAATTAAGCATTCTACCTTACTTAAACAAGTAAGTTGCTTAACCATTTACCACTAAATGACTCAATTCACCATCCCAATCTTGTATGTTAAAGTCAGCTTAACACACAATGGAACTTTATGTCACAAAGTCTTCGCCTATTGAGTTTGAAAACTTCATTAGCCTTTCTTTTTATCTTTATTTAATTCTTCTAATCTTGTACCACATCAATTGAGATACTATCGAAGTATTTATCGCCATCTTCGGTTCTTTCGACTTTCTAAACAATCATTGCTTCAATCTGAACAACGGTAGAACAACTTCGTGGATTTGTACTAACGCATTTATCTTGTCCAAACGTGTTTCAAACGCACATCTTTCTTCCAAAGATGTTATTATATATCCAACATACTTTAAATATATATTACCGCTCTATTGGTAATTATACACTTATTACGATAACAATTCATATTTATTATTTTACGATATCTCGCGATCGTTTATTTATAAACTTATCGATGTCAACCATCGTAAGTCTCTTTATCACTTCGAAAAATTCTATTATGAAAATTCTTAAAATTTTCTAAACCATGGTCAGCAACAGACCTTATGCTTTCTCACATAATAAAATATAAGGCATATCTCTTCTTTATATTCATTTATCACTAAGAACATAACAGAATATAAGGCATATCTCTTCTCTATATTCATTTATCATTTAGCACATAATAGAATATAAGGCATACCTCTTCTCTTAATATTCTAGTGCTTGCCTCCATTAGGTATTCAACCTAAAATATATCGTATCATCTTTACTTAATAATTCTTATTTAAGTTTAGAAATTCTTAAAATTTCTAGTTCACTTAAACTAATTTTCTTAAAATTCTGAAGTAACTTAATATCTTAGAATACTAGGGTTTATCACTACCCAATACCCACTTAAATATTTCCTATGGTTTGTATCCATATACTTATTACGAATCAGCTCATATATTAAGCTTCCAACAGTTTAAGTCTAAACACCAATCCGTGATATTTAGTTCACTTAAACCATTGCTCTGATACCATGATTGGAAGACCCCAACTTTCGTATTTATGAAAGACCCAAACTTTCATACTATTTCAAAAGATTTCTTAAGTTACTTCCTCAAAACATGCTACATGCATATTTATGAAACAATATTTTATATTGATAAAGTCATTACAAATGATTGGATACAAACCGACTAAGTTTTATTACAATTTCATGTCTACCCAGGAATCTACTATTCATATACTTACATGAACATTAAAAATACAGAGAAATACTATTAACTATTCTAAATCTTTCAGAGGCTACGTACCAGTACCAATGTGAATCTAAGTCCTTTCACTGATCACATGGTCAAAGGTATTATAATTGCTATAAACATAGCGAATAAAATAACACGGGAGAATAACTCAGAATAATAACACTGAGAAGCACATAGCACATATAACACATAACATATAATTTTTCCTATATATTGAACTCACCTTAAGTTAACCGGAGGTTAAAATAGTAATTTGGACAACATTTCGGCTTTAAATATGTCTTTCTATGTTGAAAACCGGGAGCTTAATTGAAAACCAGGCTTTGCGAAGGTAGGGCTTCAAAACCGAAAAGATAAAATTTTCGGGCTTCTCGGGGGTCTCGGGACGTGTTTCGGGTGCTAAAATTGATACCGGGGCTTCGAGAAAAGTCAAAATAGTGAAAATATGGAAAAAGGGGCCAAAATGGCAATTTCTCAAAATTACCTGAGAAGGCTCGCATGCCTCTTATTTATAGGCGAGAGGCTCGGATCTAGAGCAAATCAGAAGCAAGCACGTGGCTCGCATGCGAGCCTCCAGGTGGCTCGCTTCGCAGGTCGACACGGGAAGGGCACGTGGCAGACTCGGATTGGTCCAGCGCTTCGGTCCACTTGGAAGGCGACAGGAGCACAAGGCGCGTCAGTAGCTCGGATGGGACACGATTCGGTGACGCAACAGCTTTGTGCGAAGGACGTGGCCGAATCCGGACCTCTCATGCGAGATTTCTCGGATTTTGAGCCCCTAACTTCTAAAATCCATAACTTTCGCATACGAGCTCTATTTTGACGTTCTTTATATGCACGCGTAGCTAAAATTACGCTCTACAACTTTCGTTTAGATTTCGTCGGCTAATTTTGAATTTATTTTTAATATTATTATTTTTAACAGACCGGGACAGCACTATTAGAAAACAGCCCTTTAATGACGCGCAAACAATGACGCTCGCTGATAGAGGACGCGCATTTGCACGTGCCCTAAAAAATAATGTTAGTTTTGCAAAATTTGAAGGATAGAAGACACGCATTTCTGCGTGCCCTACGAATATTGTCGAACAAAAAAATTAAAAACACGGAGGGCACCTATCATAAAAAAGTGTGTCGTCTAAAACTGTCACATTATATATTTTTCTTTATGAACGCGCGTTCTCCAATTTTTTAATTGCATCCAAAAAATAAAAACCCCGCCTTGGTACTCTCGTCCTTTTTCTTCTTCTTCTTCGTATGTGAAATCCTCTTCAATCATAAAAAACCCTAAAAGCATTGTGTGTAAAACATCGATAATTTCATACTTGAAGTTCCTAAAATCTTCATCGATCAAAACAAACCCTAAAATCCCGCCTGATACCCACCTCAACTACCTCCAACCCGCACCGTCTTTCGCGATGTTTTTCTTCATAATCATCCCCTTCTTAGGTATGACTTCATGTTCGGCAGAGAAATAGGCCTCTAGAACTATCCAAACCAATCTCATCGAACCCAGATGTTGTTCTGATTTGTTTTCAAGGTCCGAGTGGGTTACTAGTTCTGAATCACAGTACTGGACCACCTACGCTTCCTGGATCTGGTCCCGGTCCCGCTATTTCAGCTCTTGGTTCTTCCAGTTTCGTTCATGGAACTAATCTTCCCTCTACTTCTTCCCCTCTTAATCCAGCTCTTGGTTCATGGAACTAATTTGCAAAATCCCGCCTAATTTTCTTATAGGTGGTGCTCAATCCAGAAAATATTCGCATCATCACGAAGCAAAAACCCAAAATCTTCTTCATTCTCTCTCCTCTATCACTTCCATAGCCGCTTCATATTTCCTTTTTCATTGTTTCAGCATACCGATGGTCTAAAATCCAGCTTCATATCAACTATTATCATTGCGTCTTCATCCGGTTATCAGGTAAAATATCCACATTTGAGATTTTATTCACAGTTTATTTGTTATTTAATGTCTGAGCTGTGGTTGAATGGTCTTGAACCTTGAAGCGGGTAGGGTTTTGGTCTATTAGTTACAAAGTGCCCGTTCACAATATTTGACGATCAGGCGACTCGATAGTTTAAATTCGTCGGTATTCGAGTCATCGTGTGTGCGATATTTTATCAATATGACCTTCGATGTAACAGGTGAAGGTGAACAGAAAGTGATCAAGTAAGGGTAAATATCGTCTTGATTTTTTTAAACATAAACATAAACATAATAATAATAATAGTAATCTAATATCGACCTTGATATTGATCCAGCTGATGGAATGCCTTATGCTTAACCTTTGTGAACATCCTTGCTGGTCCTCTTGTCAAGGGTTTTCTGACATGGTACTTTCCTGTAAATATCCGGTGACAATAGCTATTTCTTTTGTCTAATTTTTTTCATTGATATGTGGTTTTGCAGGTTATATCACTGGACAACATGGTTGATAGGCTTTCTGATGTTAAGCTTCAGCCAACTAAGGTACTGACTGCTATATGTGGCCTATTACAGACGTTGATGTCAAACAAAGTTACAAAGGAAAGGAATCAGGATTATCTGAATAGGTTGGTTGCATTTGATGTATGACACTGAAGTTTACATTGAAACAGACTAACCAATTAATAAATACTAACTTTGTTAAAATTTTGCGAATGTTTTACAGGTGGCATCACAAGCTTCCATGGAGCTAATTCTAAAGGACGACTCTCAGAGTATGGTACCACTGGGTGACCTTGTTATCAAAATTGCAGAGAATGACCAATTTGATTGGTTAGGTCGCGTGAAACTCATTGATTGCATATGCAACTTTGTATTACTTAGTCTTCAAATAGGTCAGGTGCTTATGCTTCGCTTTCTGTGATATATATAAAATTTTCTTTGTTTTTAGTACCTTTAGTCCATTGCCATCAGTATCATTCTGATCATCTATTTGTGTGACATGGTTTCTGTTGTGTATAATTATAATAGGGCATGCTTGAGAAGCTGCTACTTATGCTCTGAGATCCTGATTTCCGTGTTCGATTTTCCCTAGCAAGAAGAATCAGTGTTCTTTTCCAAACATGGGATGACCATGATGAGCTCTTCCAGGATATACTGTATGTTTTAAAGCATAGCATACTTTTTCAATATATTATTTTCTAGCAAATTTATACTTAGTGTTAGGATCAAGTTTGCACTTGGAAAAAAAAAAGATTTAACCAGCAAAAAGAGTCTTGATATCAACCAGGTTCTTGGATGAAGCAACCTTCTTGTAGTTTTGTGTCCTTAAGTTTTTTGATACTGAGAAATAGAATGACCTCATATACACCTTTGTAGCTACCGTGGAAGAGATTAAATTCCTGATTATGTTTCTCCATTTTCCAGGTCAAATTTTAGTGTAAAAATATTGGTGGTGTTATTTAAGGATAAGTTCGTTAAAGCCAATGAGGTTTTAGCTGCTGGTCATCAACCACGCCCTATCATGGAAACCATCACTGTAACCCTTGTGCATCTTGCCCTGCATAGTGAGAAAATTGAGTTGGAGGTATTTAAATCCTTTTAAATTTTATTGAACATCATTTCTTGTGAAAAATATTCACCACATGTTCTTTTTTCTTATCTGACTGATTTAATTTTTAGTGAGGCACTACAAAGGCAAATTTGTGTAGAAGATGTGTAATAGTCATCAAGTTTTTGGACTGATCTGTATGCTTCTGTTGACCTTTTTAATTTCATGCAGGCTGTTTTTATGATCTGTGTTATTGCTGCTATTGATTCCTCCCAGAGGTACTATTCTTGTACTTATTTGCCGACCAACCAAAGCCTTTATACTTATTGCAATCATTTTACTACAGGGAGCTAGTTGCTGCTGTACTTGACAACCTTTCTAAAAAACTACAATACAACTCCAGATCAGAGGTTTTTTTTTTTCAGTTTATCTTTAATCCTCTCACTAGTTTATAATACATATTGATATTGATTGTGTCATTGAGGGACAAAACTGAGCTATCTAGACTTTTTTTTTTTTTTTTTTTTTTTTTGAATAACTGGAAGTAGCTCTTTTATGAGGTTATTATACATCAAGGTGATTGAATTTAGCTGTTTTGCAGTATATTGGAGAGCTTATTGCACCAATTATTTTCTTCTGGGTCCGCTTTTACCCCTATACCTGATGAGAAAATCAGTGTACTACTCAGGGTTGTTACAAAGGTCAGAAGCGATAAAGATAAGCTGAAAAAAAAATAAGAAAAAGAAAAGAAAAATAATAGTGACAAGGGTACAAGTGAGGGTGACATAGTCATGAGTGGTGGAAGTGGAAGTGGAAGTGAAGCTCCAGTTAAGAAGAAGCTAAAAGATGGTAAAAAGAAGAAGCAAACGCATAAATCTGATGTAAAATTGGGTAATAAATCATTAAAATGTCAACCAAAAGTAAGTCAGAAAGGTCAACAGAGCAGAAAGCCACAGCTTGTTGCTAGAATCTCCAGTAAGGGAAATGATGAAGATGATGAAGGGTGTTTGATATACAGTGGGAAACGGAATCTTCTTTCATGGATGATAGATTTGGGTGTTGTTATGCCAGGTGGCAAGTTGCAGTATGGGGAAAAGGGAAACTCAATCAGACACTAAAAAATTTATATTTCCAGTCTGGATCTTCTTTTCTGAAGTGTCTCCTGGAATCTTGGAAGAAAGAAGAGGATTCAAATACTATCAAATTTAATATTGTTGATGTTAAAGGAGATGATCCTAATGATGACACGTGTAATATATGTGGAGATGGTGGTGACTTGATTTGTTGTGACGGTTTCCCTTCCACATTCCATCAAAGCTGCCTTGATATCCAAGTAATTATAAATCTATCATTACTTTTCTTGTAGGTATTGGGACTTCCTTGTTTGGAATGAAATTCCTAAATTGTCCTCTTGCACCCGGTGAATCATGGCATCCATATGTAATCAATATGGCCCTTCATCATCCTGATGAGGTACATATCCATTTCTATGAATATTCCCAATTTTGTTTTATCGAGTAAATTAAATGTTTGGTCTCTGAATATGGCTTATTTTTTTCAATTTGGTTCCAAAAGTTTTCTCTTGCAGTTTTGGTCATCCTTTGAGGTTCTTATAACTTTTTTGGTCCTTGTTCCAAGTAATACCTGATTGATTTCAACTTTGGCCCCAAAAATATAGTCATTTTCTTGAAACAGATACCAAAAACTTCAAATAAGACCAGAATTGCAAAAATTAGGGGACCAAAAATGTAATTAACTGTTGTTTGTTTTGTTATTAAATGTATCTCAAGGGGATTTGGGGTGTATATACCTTGATTTAAATTGTAGACAGGGGAAGTATCCTGGTTGTGCTCATTTTGCCATAAGAGGAGGGCGTGCAGTTTCCAAAACAGAATACCAGTTGCCAGTAAATTGTTATTACAGTATATTTTGTTTTGTTCATCAAGGGAAAATTGCAGGAATTATTATTGTATTCCATTACCAAGAATAGAAAAAAAGTGATGAAATGTTTTTGTTGATTATTATTATGAAGGTGATTGCCGTTGTTTGCAACTTCTCAAAGCCCTATAATTCATCAATCGTGAGACTTAACCACTCTGATGTGGATACCCTTTTCCATGAATTTGGGCATGCTCTTCATTCCTTGCTTTCACGAACAGTAAGTATTGCACCATTTTTTAAAGACTTGATTGAATTAATCAATCTTTGGTACTATTTTTATTGTATTATGAATTGGTTGATCAAAAAATGTATAGTGATAGATTGAAAAGCTTGTTTATTCATTTCAAAATTTCACCAAAATTGACATGAAATTCTACAACTCTCGAGATATTAATTGTGGTACATTGGAAAATTCTTGATTTTAATTGATAACAAATACAGATACATTAAGGCTGAATGCAAGAAACACAACGTACTTTTGTTTATTTGTGTTTTATAACTTTTATTTCTTTCTATTACAGAAGTGTGCTTTCAGTTTTTTTTCTAGGCATTTTGCTTTGAAAATCTACCCAAATCTATTAGTGAAATTTGGCATTCTTATAATTGGGTAGAGTTTTCATAGTACAATGCTGAAATAGGAAAGAAAGAAAGTATGATGCTATAATAAACAAATCAATGATAGTACATTGCTCTTTTTTGCATGTAACCATATAAATTTCGATCTCAAAATGAATATACATAAAGGAGCGTTTTTTTACTAATCAAATTGCTTGTTTTGTATTTGATCCTTTAGGGGTACAGATGGACAAGGTGAAGAGGTTATTAAACCATACACCCCAACCACTTTGGATTGAAACTAATCATTTGTTGTGATGTTAGTTATGTGATGAATTGAAACTAATCTTATTTGTATGTAAGTTTATTTATTTGTTTTGGACTTGAGCTTAAAATATTGTAAATTACATTTTACAGGTGTACGCATGTTGCCAGCTGGAAGTGGTATGGGTGTTATGTATGGGATGACTAGAGGCATCAAGATGGCAAGACCCCCCTTTTCCTCCATCATGAATTCCACCACTGGTTTGTTGACTTCCAGTACACCAACACCAGCACCAACACTTGCTCAAGGAAACTCCATGTTGAGATCACGTGAGGCTATGCATATGATTCGGGTGAGTTCCAACGGAATTGGAATTTGAGATTCCATTCCATTGCAGGTTTGGTTGGCCAAACTGATGGAACAAAGTTCATTCTTTATATATATATATATATATATATATATATATATATATATATATATATATATATATATATATATATATATATATATATTTGACAAAAGACTAAAATACCCTTTTATCAATGTTTTGATTTCTTTATATAGCCTAACCAGAACACAGTGGTGGCGGAACAAGCATCACAAAGCCAACTCTAAATTCCTATTGTATTTCAGTATGGATTAATTGTAAAGTCAACTCTGCAGACCCCTGTTGGGCAGCTAGGGTCAGGAAGTCCATGGTCATTATTTGAAGACCAGGTCAAACTTTTTTCACTAAATTTTTATGTATTATATTTGTTGAGAAATAAGTGTTGTTTATAAAATGTGTGTTGTCTCCTCAGTCACTTGTTGTGTTGGTTCATGATATGGATCCAACCGGGAGCTTATAAGTGATGCCATTAACAGCACTTTGCAATTCAAGGTAACTATCATATATGTTGTGTTGTGTTGGTTCATGATGTACATCATTCAACCACAGACCGTATTTCAAGTTATTCATTAATTGGTTGTATTGAAGTTTGGATTCTTGGAAAAATGTATGTTACTACATGTGTATTAAATTTTAATATTTTATAACATAGATTGATGATGCTTGAAGCCTTTCTGAATACTAATGTGTTGACGATGAAAACAGGTATCATGCGGAAACAGAAGCATAACAATAAGAAGTAGAAACAAGAAGGTGTTCCTTAATAACAATGTAGTATTAGGTTATATAGTTAGGAAAATCTCTTTCCATGGAACGATTATTTGTATGACATTAAATTGATGCAATAGATTCTATTTTTGTATATTATATTTTAATTTCTACTATGAAACATTAAATAAAAATTTAATTTGAAAATAAGTAAATCTATAAATAATATTTTTTTTAAACATTTAAAATTATGATACGCAAAAATGTGTGTCATCTTCATTTATGACATGGCCTTTCTTGACAGGGGCTTTCTTGATACGCATTGCCTATCATTAACACGCGCGTCGTAAGGTTACGACACGCGAATGCGTGTCGTCTTCCTTTATGACAGGGCCTTCCTTGATACGCATTGTGTGTCGTAAATGCGCGTCGTAAATGAGCGTCGTAAATGCGCGTCGTCTCCCTTTATGACAGGGCCTTCCTTGACGCGCATTTCCGCGTCGTCTGAGCCTTTTACGACGCGCAATGAGTGTCGTAAAACGCTGTTTTTCTAGTAGTGCAGGAAAATCCGTTAAAAATTCATAACTTCTTCATCCGACATCCGTTTTCGTCAGACATTTTACCGTTGTACCACAAATGACGAGGCCTTCGATTCTCGTTTAGGATGTATCGGTAAAATATCGCTCGATCTAAAATTCGAGTTTTTAGTTGTCTACTGCTAAGTTGAAACTTCGAAAAATCATAACTTCCTCATACGAAGTCAGATTTTGGCCTTCTTTTTATCGAATTTCTCGGTTTAACGAATACTACGACTTTCATTTAGATTTATAAGGATAAAAAGTAGTTTATCAAAAACTCACTTTTTACGTCATTCGATGTCGTGCCGGCTTTGTCGCGGATCTTTGGTTGGTCATAACTTCTTCGTTATAACTCGGATTTCGACGAGGTTTCCGCCTACAAGTTTCTAACGAGATGTTTTACAACATTAAATAATAAAATTTTACTTATTTCAAATTTTATATTTTTGCTAAATTTCACTATTTGGCTATTAATTGGAATCTCATAAGACTTCCAATATTTCATGAGTGATTCTAAACATAGTTTTACTTCATTTCTAGTAAAAACTAGCTGTTAGAACTCAACTCTAAATTTTATTCACTTTTAATAATAACAATACATAATTTCAGAATGTGTATATTACATAGTGTCAACACAATAGGTTGTAAACCTAAAGTCATGTACTAGTGATGATCGGTAAGGTTTATTCTTGATTAGTTCTTGAAACTTTTCAAGATCATTAAAACTCCCACTGACTCCTTGACATATAAGATTCTCTTGTCAATAAACATTTCTTGACAAAAAAATATTCAAGAGTTAATGTAGTTTTTATCAAGACAAAAACACTTTACAAAATTGGTCTTTGTTGATCTTTGTCTTATCCAAGACATCACAACTTTCCAATTTCAAATGTGCAAAAAATAAGAAAAACTTTTTCCACATTGTACATTTGATGAGCGTTATAAACCTTCTTAAGACTTTTCACTCAATGTCACAATCTTAACTTTAAGACTTGTTTTGGAACGAAGTATGATTGACTTCTTGATTTAACCATTTCTTTAATTCTTGATTCCTCTTCTTTGACATACAATTATACTAAGACTTACTTAGAGGATCAATTGAGATATGGTTCTTAATCATTAAGACTTATCATAAAACATAATAAAAGGTACTCTCCCTTCTTATTAGAATAGAGAAACTTTTATCTTTCTGCCTACTTGATTCTTCTTATTCGTTCTACTATTGATTTAAACTTTTACAATCAACTAAGAATTACACTTAATCTCATAAGTGTAATCATATTTACTTAACCTTAGTAAATCATGATGAATATCTTTGTTACTCTTGTGGTGGACTTGATCAACATATAACCTTGTGTACTCGATCTCCTAGTCCTTCACTTGACACTTTGTCAACAAATTAGTCTAATTTCCAAATATGAAATTTCTCATTCATCGTGAAACCAAGTTGCATGATTCCAAATTTCTGTCCAACTGAAACTTCAGAAACTCTCCTATTTGGTAAATTCTCGACATTTCCATAAACAACATAATTAAGAATCACATCCATTTGTTGTAGAAATATGCAAACACCAATTTTTCATAACGATTTCATTGCAAGGAAATAAATAAATAACTAAATGAGTCAAACCAAAATTTATTTTATTCATAAAAGCAGCGGAAAACATTTGTCCTTACAATGCAAAAATCAACTGAAAAACTATGTAATCAAATATTTCTAACTACTCTATCATAACTTTCTAAGCTCAAAATCTAATCTTCGAATCCATGCAATCGAGATCCATTTCTTCGTGATTAGATTTATCTTGCTCTTTCATCAAGCTTCCTCTCTTTTCATTGATCCTGCAAAACATTCAAATGCAATCTTATCACATTAAGAATCAACGAGTAGGAACTTAATTGAGTTATATAGTGGATTTTACCTGAAGCACAATCATACTCTTTGAGTCTTCCATCTTCTGGACTCTTCAGGCTCTTAGGGCAGACTTGTATCCAACTCCCTTTCTCTTGGCAACAAACGCATGTCGGTTCTCTTAGAACGTCCTCGGAAGCATGGTTGGTTGACTTTCCCAGCAAATATGCTCCATTGCTTTGCCAAATCATTTCTGATTCAGCAGCAATGAGCATGTAAGTTAGGTCAATGAGGTTTTCGTCATGATCCATCATATAATAGTTTCTTTTGAACTCATTATATGATTCGGGAAGTGACTGCAGAACCCAGTTCACAACCAACTTATCCGAGAATGACACACCAAACATTTTCAACCTATCAATGTGTGATTTCATTCCTAGAATGTGGGAACACACGGGTTTACCATCTTCATGTTTTATTTCTAATAGGGCTTTAGTGACATTGAACCTTTCAATTCTTCGATCTTGTGGGTTAGGGAGAACAACGGGAGGAGGAGGAAGTGAAGCATGATTTCTTGTTCCTCGATCGAATCGTGGAATATCATCTTCATGTGGAATGCTTGTTCCAAAGGATTTGGGAAGACCATAGTTGTCGAACTTTGACATCTACAAAACGGGAGAAAAATAAATTCAAGTTAGTTGATAGATTGAGTCCTTAATCTAGTTGCAGAATATTTGAAGGTAAGTGAATGACGATTCACTAATTTTCCACCATGAAAAAAATGAAAAGAAATTTAAGTTTTAAATCTATTGAAAATTCCTAGATCTTTTGAGATTCATTGAAGTTTTCGATGGCATGTTTAAATCTCGATATGCCCCTCTAGTTTGTGACTAGGATGCCGAGGATCACAAAGCGGGTGTGAATAACCATGCAAATCTACATGGTGCCCTCACATGTTACAGTCACCTATTCGATGTGCCAGTAAACCACACATGCTCCACCGAACTATGATAAACATTGAGTCACCCTTCGCTACCTTTGCTTAGAACCATTTAGTGTGACGATAAACCACACACGCTCCACTAACGTCTTCGCAAGGGCACAAAGTGTAATTTCATGGAATTGCATCAATTCACTTTTGCCTAAAGTAACTAAGATTGGGAATTTGTAAAACATTTAGTTACTTTTGTACTTCATTATACTTATAATGGAAGGTTTTGTCCTATCCTACCCGTTCGGCTAACGACCCTCCACTAGTCAAGAACGCAGTGGGTAAGAGTCGATATCCATTCAATCGTCATTTTATAGGCAATTTCCTTAAACACCCCTTATAGACCAGCTTCGTGAATGAGACCTACTAACGGTAAGACTGACTTTTACTCATACGTACATATATATATATATATATATATATATATATATATATATATATATATATATATATAATGTTAGACTTTTAATGTTATATATAGTATAGGGTGTATTTTACACTTTTAAAATACTAGGTGGTCAAATTTAATAATTATACTTTTAATTCAATTAAATTGTAAACCAAAACTTTATGGATTTATTAAACCTCTTTTAGTTATACACCTTAATTAATTAATAAAACCATAAGGGTATGATTTGAACTTTTCAAAACAATACTAGGGTTTTAGAATTTAACATTTCTAAATTAAACTTTTAATCAACTTTTAAATTCCAAAACTTAAGGGCAAGTTTTGAAACATTTCAGAACATTAGGGTTTTAACTATTTATATTTCAAAACCAAAACTTTTAAGTTCTAATTTAAACTATAAAACTTACATGGGCATAATTGAAACTTTTTCATAATACAAGGATCAAACATCAAATAATATAAATTAAACAATTAATTTCATCATTATCTATATTAGATCTAATTTCAATTTCTTGCAAAATAAGTTACCCAATTAATACAAATAATCAAACTTTGTAACGCCCGTAGATCCAGGCTAGTTAATTTAGAGGTAATAGGGGTCGAAAACGACTATTCGACAGAAGACTATTTAGAATAAATAATCTTAACCAAGTTGTAAAATATGTTACAAGGTTTCCGTACATATAAAGAACGCCAAAATCCGAGTTATAACGAAGAAGTTAGACCCGTTGAAGTTTCGCGACGGAACCGGCACAATACCGGGAAGCGTAAATAGTGAATTTACGATAGAGCGAGATTTAGCCTTAGCGATCTAAAAAAAAGTGGTATAATATGTTAAACTAAGAACATCGATAAAAAGGACGCCCGAATCTGACTTCGTATGAAGAAGTTATGATTTTTTGAAGTTTCAGATTAGCAGTGT